CAGGAGGGTCCCCTGGTATCTCAGTCTCTCCTCTTTACAGTCGCTGGGCACTCAGTTAGCTGTGCCTCACGTGGAATTTGGCGAGTGGCTCTGAGGTGAGAAGAATTGCGTTCTCTTGTGCCTTTGTCCCCAAACCCCCTTGCAGACTTTCCTTTTCTCCCTCCTGCCTTTCTTGATGCTCCCCTCACCTCGCAGTGGCCCCTCTCTGTCTAGCCTGCTGTCTCAAATTCACATGGTCTCTCTCTTCCCCCACTCTACTAGCTCCAGCAGGTGGCCGGACTGATACTCAGATACTCAGCTACAGAGCCCCGTCTGACGCAGCTGGAACTCTGTTTGGAAATGATAATACTGATGGATTGCCTCAGAGCCTGTGAGCACATGATGTCTGGACTACATTCAGCAAGGGATCATGGCGTGACCTCAGGACCACATTCCCAGCGGCTCAGGGAACTGAAGACTTCCTTCCTGATATTTGTTGATGGCATCATCTGTCTCCCGCCACCTGGGTTCAATCGGTTCCTTCCATCTATTCAATCTTCTATAGAAGGCATGGACAAAGGGACATAGATTTCCAGGAGGGCCCTCTAGAAATGGGAGAAAAGCTAAGGATTTCATTCAAAAAGGATCTCTTTAAAGACATGGGGCTGGGTGCAGTGGCTCATGCCTAGCACTTTAGGAGACTGAGGCAGGAGGATCACTTGAGGCCAGGAGTTTGAGACCAGCCTGGGCAACATGGTGAAACCCTGTCTCTCCAAAAAATGCAAAAATTAGCCGGGTGTGGTGGTATGCCCTGTAGTCATAGGTATATGGGAGGCTGAGGTGGGAGGATTGCTTGAGCCTGGGGTGTTGAGGTTGCAGTGAGCTGTGATTGCACCTCTGCACTCCAGCCTAGGCAACAGAGCGAGACTCTGTCTCAAAAAACAAAGAAAAAAAGAACAAATTTTTTGCCACGCAGATAACTAGTGGCTTATTGATGAAGCTTAAGGTCTCATGCCCAGGATTCTTTCTTATAGGTAAGTGATTTCCAATATTTTACATTAAGAATCATTGTCACAGTGTGTGGGGATCACTCCTGAGAAGGGCCCTTGACAGGACCCTCGCCATCTTGAGCTTGAGCCCATACACGTTTCTCCTCTCCTGGAGGCTGTTGAGCTAAGGGAAAGGAGGAAGTCTGGTTGCACTGATTTTATAAACATCAATCTTTGCCTCTGACATTTGCAACAGAATGGCTGAGCTCAGGCCTTGTGGTCTAATGAGACATTGTATGGTTAGATGTTGTGTGCCTCCTAGTTCCTTCTCAGCACAATAACTGTATGACTTTGTTTACCTCTGCTAACTCAATCATATTGTTTGCATATGATTCTGTATGAATAGGCAAGGTTAGAATGACATTTGGAAAGGTCCAGCTATACCTTGTTAACAATCTTACTTGCTTGCTTAACTGATTTTAGAAAAACACATGTTTAGATTTATGATCCCCTTTTTTGCAAACTTTATTGTCCCTTTGCTGTACACCCTTTGATTAAGTCATACTTTCTGTACCCCTTTTCTTGTGATTTTTTGTTCTTGATTTTATTTCAAGATACAATGGAATGTACGTCACTCCTCAAACACTGAAAGGTATATAACCTGTAGTTTGCACAAATAAACTTGCTGTCTTGGCACTTCTTGCTCCGGCATTGCCTGGCAGCCCTCCAGACCCCGCTTTCTATCTATCTTTTCTTCCGCGCACTCCCTCTTCCAGGTTAAGAACACTTGAGTGGGGCTGAGGCTCTCCGCTGGTCGGAAGCCCCCCGGGCAGACATGCCGGACCCCCACAATAGTGAGCCATGGTTACTTACGGATTGTGTCCTATGGTGTATGCTTATTGAGGTAGAAACGGTTAAGAATCATTATGTAGTATACAGAAGCGAGCCTCCCATCTCGGCAGTTTGAAATTTGCCTCTCTCCGTAGAACTCGGAATTCTACAGAAGGTGGTTTGAAGTTTGCCTCTCTTTGTAGAACTTGGAATGTGAATCACTCCAAGGTTCTATTGTCTGGAATGTGGAAGGTGACTTTCCCCAGGGGTTCATCAGGAGAACTTATAAGGTCATGGGCCAGAAGTTTCCTTCCTAGAGACTTTGCTATTTCTGGCTCTTCACTGGAGTCCAGTAGATTGGGGTGTCAGTGAAGAAGCTTGCTGGGATGGGCATGGTGTGGAAAGAAAGTGCACTGGTGGTAGAAATGGGGTAATCCCCATCCCAGTGTCTACACTTGGATAGCATATTACAAAAACCACATCCCAGTGAAGCCATGGGACCAATTCGCCAAGTGGGTGAAAAGCTTCCTAATGAAGAGGTGCTTCTGATTTTGATGGGCCACAAGACTTGTCATGTAGTTATAAAACTCGTCTAAGGCTGGGCAGGGTGGCTTACACCTATAATCCCAGCACTTTGGGACAGTAAGGCGGGGGGATCATGAGGTCAAAAATTCAAGACCATCCTGGCCAACATGGTGAAACCCTGTCTCTACTAAAAATACAAAAATTAGCTGGGCATGGTGGTGTGCATCTGTAGTCCCAACTACTTGGGAGGCTGAGGGAGGAGAATCACTTGAACCCGGGAGGTGGAGGTTGCATTGAGCCGAGGTCATGCCATCGCACTCCAGCTTGGCGACAGAGTGAGATTCCACCTTAAAAAAACAAAAAACAAAACTCCTCTAATAGGTGCTGTCACTCAAAGATTACCCTTCAAATTCTCTCCAGGCCAAAGATTGCCTTTTGAATTCTCTCCAGGCAAATTGGTATCACTCCATTCTGCTGGTGTCAGCTGCTCGAAATAGTGTAGACGCAGAGAGTTCTGGGACCCATGTCGCTCAGAAACCATGTCAAAGTCCTGGCTGAAGGTATCTACATTACCCACAAATTGCTGTATATGAGTAGAATGTCCAAGCATGATGCCATAGTGAGAGAAGTAAATTTGTATTGTGCTTCAAAGTGCACAGTTTATAAGACTTCTATGTTCAACTGTCTGAATCCTAAAACATTCCTTAAGGTCAAAAGGGCAGGCATTGCTATCAACACTTTGGAGATTTGCAGATAGGTAAATTGAGTCTCAAAAGCTACTTATCCAGAACCATATACTAGTAAGTTGTGAGCCCCCAGGGACTTTATGCACGTTTTTTGTTTGTTTGAGGCAGTCTTGCTCTGTCTCCCAGGCTTGAGTGCAGTGGTGCGATCTTGGCTCACTTCAACCTCCGCCTCCCAGGTTCAAGCGATTCTCCTTCCTCAGCTTCCCGAGTAGCTGGAATTACAGGAGTGCACTATCACACTGAGCTAATTTTTGTATTTTTAGTAGAGACGAGCTTTCACCATGTTGGCCAGGCTGCTCTTGAACTCCTGACTTCAGGTGATCCACCCGCCTCAACCTCCCAAAGTGCTGGGATTACAGGCGTGAGCCGCCACACCCGGCCTACACTGGTTCTTTTTTAACTGCAAAAGTCAAGTGCTGGCAGGAGCTTGAGGACATGGAGATGTACTGGACACAAGATAATCAGGAGATGCCACTTGATTACTACACTTGCAATTTCTTGAGCAAATTTAAACATCATAAAAATGCTAAGATCTTCTTGAGAAAATTTCTCAAGCTGTGTTGCATAAGCTGTGCTCCTGGGGCCAGTAGAGGTTGATCCACACACACGGGGAATGGTTAATACTAAACAGGAGAAAACAATTGGATTTTGCCCAGGTAAGTGACCAAAGGTGAGTAAAGCAGTGCACTGGTGGCCTTGACCAATCAGATGTGAGACTTGTCACATGATGATCCTCCTTTAGCACATTCAAACCCCCGCTCGTCACAAGCCTCCTCCAGAATTCAAAATTAACCAATGGAAATCAGATACCGTTCTCCTGTTGCTCTTCCCGCTTCTCTGGACCATACTGTCAGCTTCCTGTTCATCACCCCTATCCTGAAGTCCAGTTATGCAAGGCAGGGGTCCTTTTGCAATTATTTAAAAGGCTGGTGGGTAAGAGGCAGTGGCTCTCTTTTCCTTTGTCATCAGCTTATTTAACACAAGATGGTTGATACTGGCACAGTTCCTCCTCCTTTTTCCTTTTTTTTTTTCTGGGGAGTTTCCAAATTTATTGTTTATCAATTGACTCATCTTGGAAATTGAGCTGTTAAACACCAGGATAGAGGATGGTCTTGGTTGCCAAATCTGTCCCCAGCCAGGGCAGCATTGTACCCTTCCAAAATTTTCTAGGCCTCCTCCAAATAACTCAAGAAATGGGAATTTCACCACCTCTCATGGGAGGTTATTTTATAGCCTCTTAACAGCTTAGCTATTATGAAAGTTCTTCTGATGAAATCTTTTTTCCCTTGGGTTCATTCATTACCTTTAGTTAATCCCCTAAAAAGCACCTTCACAATCCCTCTTCCTTCTTTGGGATTTATGGTGCCTTCAACTATCTGCACATGACTTTTAGGCCCCCATCCCATACACAGGCACCCACACTGCTTAGCTCTTCAGCAGCCTACCCACATGCAATTCTTTTCATCTTTCCTCCTACATCAAAACCTCAAGTGAATTTGAAGGGGAATTATGGTTCCCTTCTCAAGATTTTCTCATGTCAGCTGCCTCCCTTCTCCTCAACCACATGCCAGATTTCTGTATGCCAATAGCCCTTCACCAGTGGAAATGACATTTTTCTGGAATGCTGTGTTCTATAGTTTTAAAAAAATAGATTCCTCCTACCTATAGCTTATATCTAGGTTGGATCAATATTTATACAAACTATAATAAGGAGGAAAAATCTAACGTCTGGGACTACCTTAAATCTCTCACTCTGTCACCCATGCTGGAGTGCAGTGGCGCAATCTCGGCTCATTACAACCTCTGCCTCCTGGGTTCAAGCCATTCTCCTGCCTCAGCCTCCTGAGTAGCTGGGACTACAGGCACGTGCCACCACACCTGGCTAATTTTTTATTTTTAGTAGAGACGAGATTTCACCATGTTGGCCAGGCTGCTCTTGAACTCCTGACCTCAGGTGATCTGCCTGCCTCGGCCTCCCAAAGTGCTAGGATTACAGGTGTGAGCCATCACACCCAGCTGAAACTTTTAAACTACAAGTAAAAATCTCAAAATAATATATTTTCCTTAAACATAGGCTATGAATTAATAAAATAGATTCAATCACCTTTTGGTAAAGGAAGTGTGAAGGATTGACTACTCATTTCTTTATGGATGAAAAATTCGCATGGGTGAGTGCCCTAGATGAAAAAGAACTCTTTCTTTCCTTCTTTTTTGGTATTTCCTTCCCATTGACTTTTTCAGAAGCTACCTCATTTTGTTTTTCAGCCACCTTGAATAGCTTGTAGTTTCCTTGGTCTCTGAAGGGACTCACACACACCACAGTCCTTGACGGCAATAGCAACCACCAGGAGGGCCTCACCCTCGTTATGCAACCTTGGGCCTTCCCCCTCCACTGTTTTCTTTCAGCTGCACCAAGGGCCAACCTTTAAAGCTCTAGGGGCATCACAGACATATTCAGAGCCCCAGGACCCCACCTATTATTCCTTTGCTTAGAAGGAACCTCTCCTTCTCCAAACCTCCCCATCCAAACCTGATGGGGCTCTTCCTTCCCAAACCTCATCCATCCATCAAGATCTAGCTTCTGTTTCATTTCCTCCAGAGGAAGCTGCCTTTTCCTCTAAACTTCATAATGTTTAGTGTCTATACCATTAAAATATGCTACCTCACATTATTCATGCCTCCATTTGCTGCTGCGGCTGCTGCTTTTTTTTTTTTGAGATAAGGTCTTGCTCTGTCGCCAAGGCTGGAGTGCAATGGCATGAACACAGCTCACTGCAGCCCTGACCTCCTGGCTCAAGCAATCCTCCTGCCTCAGTCTCCTGTGTATCTGGGATCACAGACATGCACTACCATGCCCAGCTAATTTTTAAATTTTTTTGTAGAGACGGGTCTCACTTTGTTGCCCAGGCTGGTCTTGAACTCCTAGTTTCAAGCTCGGCCTCCCAAAGTGCTGGTGTTAGCCACTGCACCTGGCCCATTTGCTCTGTTTTTAAAAGTTGCATTTTATTTTTAATTGATAAATAATGATTGTGTATACTTATGAGGTACAATGTGACATTTTGATACATATATACATTGTGGAGTGATCAAATCTGGTGAATTAGCATATTCATCACTTCAAATATTTATCATTTTTTGTAGTAAGAACATTTAAAATCCTCTCATTTAGCTATTTTGAAGTATACAGGACCTCATTATTTATAGTCACCACACTGTGCAACAGAACACCAGAACGTATTCCTCTTGCCTGACTGAAACCTTGATCCATCAATCACTCTCTTCCCCTCTCACCCACCCCTCACCCCCAGCCTCTCGTAACCACCATTCTAGAATCTCTACTTCTATAAGTTCAGTTTTTTTATAGATTCCACATATAAGTGAGAGCATATGGCATCTGTCTCGCTGTGCCTGGCTTATTTCACTTAACATAACATTCTCTAGGTTTATCTATGTTGTCGTAATGACAGAATTTTCTGTGCCTTTTTCAAGGCTGAATATATTCTATTGTGCATACATGCCACATCTTTTAAATCCATTCATCTGTTGATGGATACTTAGATTGTTTCCATATCTTGGCTATTTTTAATAATCCTGCAATGGACAGGGGAGAGCAGATGTCTCTTCAACACACTGATTTCAATTCCTCGGTGCTTCCTGAGACATATGGCAATTCTATTTTTAGTTTTTTGAGGAACCTCCATACTGTTTTTCAAGATGTCTGTACTAATTTATGATACAGCCAAGTGTACAAGGGCTCCCTTTTCTCCACAGCCTCGCCAACACTTGTTATCTTTCTTTCTTTCTTTTAAAGATGGGGTTTCACCATGTTGGTCAGGCTGGTCTTGAACTCCTGACCTCAGGTGATCCACCCGCCTTGGCCTCCAAAGTGCTTGGATTACAGGCGTGAGCCACCATGCCCAACCCTCTTTCTTTCTTTATTCTTGAGACAGGATCTTGCTCTGTTGTCCAGGCTGCAGTGCAGTGGTGTGATTTCAGCTCACTGCAGCCTCAACACCTCGACCTCCCCAGCTCAAGCAGTTCTACCCTACCCCAGCCACCTGAGTAGCTGGGACTGCATGCACACACCACCATGCCTGGCATTTTTTTTTTTTTGTAGAGGCGGTGTTTCACCATGTTGCCCAGGCTGGTCTTGAACTCCTGAGCTCAAGTGATCCTCCTGCCCTGGCCTCCAAAAGTGCTGGGATTACAGGTGTGAACCACCATGCCTAGCCAAGATCTCTTTATAGGGACACCGAACACATGACTTTGACAAGGCTGATGTTTTGCTGAACATGAAGATGGGCTTCAGGCCAGTGGGTGGCCCTAGCTGGGGAGCTAGGAGTTGGGAAAGTCTCCCCTCTAGCCATCGAAGATGAGGAACTGCAGGGTGACCATCAGCACCTGTAGGGCCAGCCCCATTCCTGGGCTTCACACATGCCTATAGGGGAACCAGGGCAGGTGATCAGAGGCTGGAGTAGGGCATAGGCAGGGATGTGCTTGGGGGCCCATGCCAGGGTTTCAATTCAGGTTATAAAGAAAGCAGATCAATCCTGATATCACTCATAGTTCCATTTTGTGCTCAAGCTTACAATTCTAGGCCCAGGACAAGGCAGAGCAATGGGAAAAGGTTTCCAGCTCAGCTGGGTCCAGATATCCACTCCCTTTAGTCCCAAGCCATACTGTCCTTGTCCTTTGTTCTCTGATCCAGCTTCCCAAACAGGTCTTAGCCTTTTCCCTGCACTGAGCCCCACACCCTTAAGAAACCCCCTTTCTTGGTATATCTCATCTGTAAGCCAGGACAAGGCAAGCCTCAGAAAAAGGAATATAAACTACCTGGGACTCTGCAGTCCTCTGCGGTCCTCTCCCCTGCCCCATCAGTGGTCAGAGACCCTGGCCCTGAAGTCTCTGAGATGGGTTCCTCCTGCCACTTTCCTTCCCCTGTGGCTGAGAGGGTGCAGTGAGGGAGGAGAGCTGCCCCTCCGTATACTCCACCAGGGGACAGCTCAAGGTGAGATAGGATGGGAGCCTCAGACCCATTGGCTGCTCCTGGGAGGGGAGCAGCGCTCTTCAGCCTCCTGCCCAGGCGTTGGTCCCCACCCCAATCCATGTCGGCCCTTTCAGGAGCTTTTAGTGGGAATGAGCTCAGACCCGCAGCACAGGCCCGGCTGCCCTCCTGTCTCAGCTCCTCCCATTGCTCTTTGATCGTCTCTTCCATCTGACCTCTGGGCCCTCTCTCCACCAGGCACTTCTGCAAGCAGCCCCCTTCATCCCAGCATCACCTCTTCCTCCCGTTTCTCCTTCCACTCGCAGGTCCACATCCTCCTCCCATTCCCCTCTCTCCCCTCTTCAGACCCCCACCTTCCAGTTTCCTCACCTCCCCTTTCTGTGGGTTCCCTGGGGCTTACAGCAAGAGGGAGAGAGAGCTCCTGACAGGATTGATGGTCCTTCCCCACCCTGTCCTCTCATCTGCTCCCTCCCCATCGGGCACAGACAGCCCCCTACAAAAGGCAGGAGCCTGGCAGTGTGGAAACAGCTGCTCTCAGACGCCCTTCCCTTCGCCCTCTGCTGGCTAGGCTGGGCTGTGCCTCCGCTCCCTCTTCCTCCAGCTGAGAGTGGGCACCTGGGGTGCTGAGCCCCCCACCTCATTCTCCATGAATGCTGTGGAAAGTCCTGAGGGGCAGGAGCTACAAAAGCTGGGAAGCGGAGCCTGGGACAACCCCGCCTACAGCGGTCCCCCTTCCCCGCACGGGACACTGAGAGTCTGCACCATCTCCAGCACAGGCCTCCCCCAGCCCCAACCCAAGAAGACTGAAGATATACCCGAGGAGACAGCACACAGGACCCGGGTATCCAGATGCTGCCTCCTTATCTGCCGAGGCATCAGAGGTACTGGGTAGGGGGCGGGTTCTCCCGGGATATTGGAGTCAGAAGAAGGAGTCATCACAGGCTTTTGGGCAGGGAGTGGAGGTGGAAGGTAATCTGAAGAAGAGGTGGCTTTTCAGTGTCACTTTGGGGTGTGTGAATTGCCTGTGGTAGTGCTGCATGCCCCAGAACACAGAGGTCAGCTGAATGGGCTACCAGTTGCAGGGAGCCTGGCATGGTCATCACTTGGGGACCCAGAAGGGTATGTGGGAGCTGCTTGGAGGGAGGATGTGGATGTGATGACACCTGGAGCAGATGACTTCTTTCCATGCCTTCATTCTCTGTGAGCCAGGGCTTTCACCCCTGTCGACCTCAGGGAGTTGATGGGAAGGAAGAGCACAGGTGTGGGTAGAGCACCGAGATTCAGCAAGGAAGAAGGCAATGGGCAAGGAAGGGCAGGCGTGGAAAGGGGCTGAAGTCCAGGGACAGAAGGGTGGAACACTGCCACTGGGGATCCCGGGTATCTCTCCCATGCCCCTTTAGGACTTTGGGGAACAACCCTGACTGAGAACACAGCTGAGAACCGGGAACTTTATGTCAAGACCACCCTGCGGGAGCTGCTGATATACATTGTGTTCCTGGTGGACATCTGTCTGTGTAAGTAGCATTTGTCTTTGTGCACATCTGTCTGTGAGAGACATCTACGTGTGCACTATCTGTATACACATTCCTGGGGGTAACATCTGTGGAGCCAGCATCCATCTGTGTACACAGGCTATGTCTGGGAACTTCAGATAACAATATTCCAATGCTATCTATTTATCTTCACAGCTTAAGATACTTTGTTTAAAAGGAATTTGTCAGTCGAAGAAGGCAGATTATTAGAAAGCTGTTAAGAAAAGTTGTTTGGTCAAGAATTACAAGAGGAAGCCAGTTTTTAAGTTCACTTGGCAGCCATTGTTTTCTACTGGCTGAAAAGGTGAAAGGTGAAAATGTTTACCCTTCTATAGAGAGTGGGCCAGCACGGTGGCCCATGCCTGCAATCCCAGCACTTTGGGAGGCTGAGGTGGGCACATCACCTGAGGTCAGGAGTTTGAGACCAGCTTGTTAGAGATCAAACCTCAGTTTGTGTCTATAGCTAGAGCCTCAGGTTTGATCTCTAAGTTGAGAGAAGCAAGTGAAAAGACAGGAGGGTGACTTTGGAAAAATAGAGTCAAAGAACTGTAAATAATAATACAGTATTATTATTACAGGTAATGACAGCAACTTTGCATTTGGTTTATCACTTCTTTCAAAAGTTGCGCAAGTGATGTTTGCCTACTTTAGTATAGCTGTGTGTCGGGTCACATTTTGTTTTGTTTTGTTTTGTTTTGTTTTGAGATGGAATTTCGCTGTTGTTACCCAGACTGGAGTGCAATGGCATGATCTCGGCTCACCGCAACCTCCGCCTTCTGGGTTCAAGCAATTCTCCTGCCTCAGGCTCCTGAGTAGCTGGGACTACAGGCGTGCACCACCATGCCCAGCTAATTTTTGTATTTTTAGTAGAGACGGGGTTTTACCTTGTTGACCAGGATGGTCTCGATCTGTTGACCTCGTGATCCACCCGCCTCGGCCTCCCAAAGTGCTGGGATTATAGGCATGAGCCACCACACCCGGCCCACCTTTTGATAAAAGCTGTAGGTGAGGTCATACAACTAAGGTACCCTCATTACTAGGTGTTCTAGGCTCCATAACACTTCTTGTCAAGGTGCATAAACTTTTTGGAAGTGGAGTCAGAAAGTCAGTCTGACATCAGTACTGATGAAACATTTTGTTTTTTGAGCCACGCACATTTGTGCAAGCCCTCCAGGAAAGCTGGCAGAAAGCGCTTGCTTCTGGCTGTGCTCTGTCGGGCTCACTCTGTGCTGGACAGAAGGGGCGGTACTCTGTGTTTACCACCCACCACTCGGCAGGGAGTGAAAGGACACAGTGCACGTGAGGAACAACGACCTGCCCAATGTGCATTTTGTGGGGCCCTTTCAATTCCTTTCAGCAAATGGCTGTCAGAAATTCATTTGTTGACATATTGATTTTTTTGTCCTAACCATCTGCTAGCAAGGAGGATTCATCTCCTTTTTCAGATCCCATGACAGCAGCTGAAACCCACAGGCAGAGCCATTCTCTATAAATGACTTAAACATCTCTCTTTCCACATTAGCCTCTGGAATGGGACTGTTTCTAGCTCCCCAGAGTTACAGTGAACCATTTTTTTTTCATGATCTGTGTTTTTCTTTTTAATTATCTTAAGTCTTATGATCACACATAATTTCTAAATTTGTGTATATCTCCTCTACTTTAATCCTTTTAAGTTGGCAAAATCGCCATTCCCAATCACAGATACACAGCAGGTCTACGGTTTTGCTTCTGAATGGCTGTTTAAAGACAATCCTAAATTATAACTTAGTTTGACTTAGATTGTAAAGAATCCAAGAGTGAAGTTTAATTGGCTATTAGGCATGTGACCTTATAGATCATCTATAAAATGTGTGAAGTGTTAAATAATTTTTGATATTACACATAAACCATACTAAAATGGCTTTCAAGAAGTAAAGGGAGCCATTTTAAATACAGGGAATTCTAATTAGATTGGCATAATTAAGGCCGAAAATATACAGTAGCCATTGCTACCCATTTATCTTCAATCCTTGCCTTTAAGAGGCAAATGAACACAAAACACAGGTGAATCTTGCTTGGTTCTGAGACAGTGAAGGAATTTCCCCCATATTTAAACATATTCACATAACCAGTTATATAAATCTAAATATAAAACCAATCTCCATTAAGTTTTATGATGGCACTCACCATCTTTGTGAAAAGTTTAGCATTGCTAACAAAGTCTAATCATATCTTTAGAAGGGGTAAACAGTGATAGAATTTATTAAGTTGGAATTACTATTAAAATTCAAAAACTGAACATACTCATTTAACCACAAGCCAGTCTTAGTTTTAAATCAAGACTTCCCAACAAAATATTCTATCATTCATTCATGATGTAAATTCTGGTGTATGAAGTCTATTAAAGTATGGTACACATAAAAAAAGTCATGAGATCTGTTTTGTGATAAATAAGGCAGTGGCCAATTATTATTCTTTAGTAGCTTTTTGAGATAAGCTATCAAGTCTGCCCTTTCTCCCTTCTTCTTCTTTTTTTTTTTTTGAGATGGAGTTTCGCTCTTGTTACCCAGGCTGGAGTGCAATGACGCGATCTCGGCTCACCGCAACCTCCGCCTCCTGGGTTCAGGCAATTCTCCTGCCTCAGCCTCCAGAGTAGCTGGGATTACAGGCGCGCGCCACCATGCCCAGCTAATTTTTTGTATTTTTAGTAGAGACGGGGTTTCACCATGTTGACCAGGATGGTCTCGATCTCTTCACCTCGTGATCCACCAGCCTCGGCCTCCCAAAGTGCTGGGATTACAGGTGTGAGCCACTGCGCCCGGCCCTCTCCCTTCTTCTTAATGCCAGTAAATATCATTTTTGTTCCAGGGATGTACTTCTTGGGATTCTCCAAATATTCCATCAGTGTATCCTCTCCCCAGGTGATGCCTCTGTTCTTACTGGACTCAGTATAAGGGAATCCAGTGGGCTGATCTCAGTGATACCGTGGAGATTAGGCCCAGTCTTGTGGTTGCCTCCCTTTTCCACGGTGTGGCATTGGGAACACTTCTGAACAAAAATCTTCTTGCCTTTCTCAATATCACCCAAATTTAATTCTCTTTTTTCATCGCTGGCACAACAAAGATTACCACTCCGAAGCCGGATGTCCCACTATTTCACAGAGAACCGTTTTTTAACTCCACTCTATGGGGCAGGAAAGGGTGGAAGCTTGGGTTCTGGAAGTCCAAGAGTCCAATCCACTCATGTTCTCTGCTTGCTGAGATCTCAGTTGCATTGCTGGATGGTCTGTGACTTGCCAAAATCTGAGTCATATACTCAGTCCAATAATTACAGAATCCTTGAGTGGACAGGAGCTTTAGAGGTCATTTAGTTTGAGGATGCAGAATATGTGGAATCCTTTCTCTATGATCCTTCCCATGGTGCTCTGTCAGGTGGCCAACCAGCCCATCCTGGGGAGTGTCAACAAGGCCTTCACTGTTTCACGAGGCAACCCGTTCTGTGATTGGGCAGCTCTGTTTCCTTCCTCTTATGGAGCACCCTCCTCTGCGCCAGACGTTGGACTGAGAAACACATAGATGACTGATACTTGGTCCTTTCCCCTCAGAGGCTCACTTCCTTTTTAGGACTTTCTTCTATTAAACCAACTACTGAGGTGTCCCTGTTACTCTCTGAAGTGACAACCTTTCAACTGATTGAATGGATATAGCTTCCCCTTGGTCATCTGTTCTCTAGGTTAAATAACTTCTATTTAATCACTAAACCAGTCACTATACCATGGTTTTCAGAGGTGGTATTATGCAGAGATTGAAGGCATGGGCTCCAAATTTGCACAGGTTTGGGTCAAACACCATGCACTGCCATTCACCATTTGAGGGCCCTGGAGCAATTTGCTTAACGTCTTTGAATTTCAGTTTTCTCATCTGTTCTTATGCAATCCAATAGGATTATGTGAGGCAATAGCCATAAAATCATTAACTTAGCACCTGGCATATATTAAAAGCAATTTCAGAATGTACTTGCCTGCCTGCAGACTTCATCTATGTGATGCCTGGCACTGGCCAAAATATGCCACGGACAATCTGACCAGCACACAGTTCTGTGGTGCCATTATTTCTGTCGTAGCTAGATTCTGGGGATCTGTGAGGAAACACAGAGGAAGTGATATCTGAGCTATAACCTGAGAGATACGGAGGATTTATCCCATTGAAAGGGAGGTGAATAGAAAGGAAGTCTCTGGGAAGAGGGGACAGCATGTGCCAAGGCCCGAAAGGGAAAAGTGCATCAACATGGCTGGAGCAGAGAGTTTGAGAAGCAAAGTGGTAAAAGACGACAAGGCTGGCCTTATAAGAAGGGGCCGATCATGAGGGGCCTTATAAAGCATGACAAAGAATTTTGACTTTATTCTGAAGGGTACAGGGGGAGCTATTCAAGAGTTTTAAGCACAGGAGTGACATGATGAATTTTGAGTTCTCCTGAGGAGAAGATTGAAGTATAGACCTTGGATCACAGAGGTATCTCTGGGAAAGTTGAGTAGGGGAGATAATAGTCCTTGCTAAGGATATTAATGGGATTTTTAGAAACAAAAACCTTATCAGGGCCACTGAGTCAATCCAGTGGCAGTATAACATGCTGGTGAAGCAGTGGGGCTCTGGAGTCTACTATGTGGGTTCAAGGTCTGGCACTTCCCCAATTATCAGTTGTGTGATCCTGAGAAAGTTTGCTAACCTCTCTTAGCCTTGGGTAATGATCATACCTCCCCAAGAAGATGATTATGCAGGTTAAATAAAACAGCTCACTAATACGCTTAGCACAGTGTCTTTCTGGCACATGGTAAATAATGCCTATTGTCTTCAAGTCCCAGAAGGCACTGTAAAACAGTACGGTGGCATCATAAACCCCGCCAGAAGTGGAGGGTGAGGAAGGGAGAATTAATGTGATACCTTTAAACCTCAAAAACCTACAGGTCCTGTGGAATTGGGCTCTTAATAAAGACCCTGAAATTA